TATGCACATATGTAATGCCATAGATGATGTGGCTTTGGATATAGTAATGGACAATGCTGAAGGTTAATTGTCTGCTTTGAGAGATTTTGCAGGAAACCTACATTATAAGGTATTGTTTCGTGCTGAGAAGGTTGCTGTAATGAACAAGTGAGGACAAAAGTAGACCTTTTCAATGTTGTGAATGATGTGATACAAGCTGAGGGTGGGATGACTCAAGCCAGAATTCTGTCTTCATTTCTTACACTTCATGTATCTGAGCCAGAACTATACTGTCTCCATATAGCGTTATTTTTAATATATAGAGAGTAACTCAAATGGCTGGATATAATTTCATAGAATCATAGAGTGCTTTGGGTTGGAAGAGACATTTAGAAGTCGTCTAGTCCAACCTCCCTGCAGTGACCAGGAACATCTTCAACTAGATCAGGTTGCTCAGAGCCACATCCAACCTGACCATGAACATTTTCAGGGATGGGGCATCTCCTACCTCTCTGGGCAACCTGTTGCAGTGTTTCACCACCCTCATCATAACAAACCATTCTTATTTATATCTAGTTTACCTCTACTTTGTGATGGAAGTGTGAGATGAACAGTTTTGAAATCTTCATTTAAAGTTAAGCATGATTTTCACCTTTTTGTTTCTCAAAGATAAAAACAAGTGCAAGAAGGGAAAGAAATTACTTGCCTGAAGGAAGTAAAATGGTTTTGAAAGTTTTATAAGGTTAATCTATGCTGCTTGTTATGCCACCCATTTTCACAAGTTGACAGCTATGTTACGTCTCATTTTGTGTGTGCGCATGTATGTATGGGTGGGTGAACGTGCAGTTCTGTTACTGGTGATGAACATCGTGCTGTTTGCACCTCTAGACCATGACCATAATATGCGTAGTGAGAAAAAAGAGCTGTGTAAATCCTTTGAAAAGGAATCTGGGAACATTGCAAAGATACAAGTCTCTACATGGGCATCTAGGTGAGCCAGTCAGCTGAATTCACTTTGTAGCACAGCTGCACAGCCAAAGGTCATCCTGTGTCTTCAGGCTCAGCATAAGGACTTCTACTGCTGCCCATTGGTTTGCCATTTCCACTGGTCAGCCAAGTGGGATTGGTTCACAAAGCCCCTCTAACACGGACTGCGCACATGGTGGATGCTTCCCTGTCCTCTCTGCTGGGGACAGGGACAGGAGGCTTGTCCCAGGGTTACTGTTGTCTGTATTGTTACACATGCTATGGCCTGGAGTACTGAGGCTGGGAAGTCATCTGCTCAGGTAGCATGGGCTCATGCCATTAGGTGGTATTTACGGCTGGGAATTGGGGATGTTGCTCTTTGTATAAGGGACTGAATACTAAAATGCTCCTATTTACTAAGAGCTTTATATTTTAATTTAAAACTAATTCAAATTTACATCAGTTATTTAATCCTTAATTAGGACCATGTTTTAATCTCAAACAGATTAGTTAGAACCAAAATTCACTTTGTTTTTCAAAGGACAATCACATTTCATTAAACAATAACTACCATAGATTACTACAGGCATTTGTTTTTCATTGACTGAAATAACTTTTCGTGCTCTCTGTCTCCGAGACAGACTCATCAGTTACAGCTTGCAGAAATTCATTTTCATACAGTAACAAGGACAACTGCAGCCCTGAAAATCTTACCAGTAGGTGACTTCAATAACGTCAGTGTGGCGCACCCTCTAAATAAGAGATTGAAATCATGCTGCATACAGTTTTAAAATAATGTTACAATGTGGAGTTATCACAGGAGTCACAGAGGCCAACAGGTATTGGGCATCTGAGTCAAGACTAAAAAGCAGCCTGACTAAAGACCAGACAGCCTTGCTGCTATATAGTTTGTCTTGTATGTGGAAATACTCAAGGTTTCCTTTACTCCCTTTTAGTGTGCCAAGAGGTTTTTCTTCCTGGCCCATCACATCTAATTCCTCTTGCATTGTTCCACTTGTGAGTGAAAGGAAATTTTCTTATCTTCCAGCAGAAGATGTTGAGGAAAAAAACATCTGCTATTCACAGCTGCTTCCCATGCTGAATTTACAGATTCTGTGGAGACTTCCCAAGCTAGTCCTTTTATTTTCAGCCTGACTGAAACCAAAGCTATGGTATTCACCTCAAAAAGCCAAACCTTCTTCCTTCAATTCATGTAATTGAATTTTTCTGATGTAGAAAAAAATGAATGCCTGAATGCCTCATTTTTTTTTTTCCTCTTATATATTGGAATTTAAAAAATTACTGGGAAAAGAATAATAATTGTAAGTACATTGACAACTTTTTCTATTGGCATCGCCCTTTCCATGCTTCAATTTCAAGTGTAATTGCATTTTTTTTTTTTTTATCGTTTGGGCTGCAGTTGTGAATAATCTTAAATTGGTGTGACAGACAAAGGCAAAAGGTATGAGACTGCCTGAGGGGAAGATACAAGATTGGGATGCCCTTGCTAAGGCATTCCAGGGCAGCAGGCTCATCCCTGCTCACCAGCTGCTCGCTCAGTACCATGATAGCAGAAGTGCAAAATGGTGACATTCCTGTCCTTCTGGAAAAGCAGCAGCCTGATCTCGTGTTACCAGAGTGCTTCCTACATGCCTCTCTTTCTTCTTCTCTTTTTATCTTGCCCCACACCACCAACACCTTTTCTTAAAGGAGATATATGACTTTTCACGTGAGGGATGAAAGAAGCATTTATTAATGGAGCAGTTTCCTGCCTTTCTCTTTCTCACCCTGAAAAATCTGTCCTCTTGTAATGCAAGCTGGTTTACTTGTGAAAGTGCAGTGTAATTAGCTGGACAGATGTAGTGCAACGTTTATTCCTTAATGTGTTTGCTTAGTTACTAGTGCTGGTTGGAGTGGGATTGGCAGCTGATCTTTTCTGCTCGGCTTTTCTGCAAGGGCCATGCTGTGCCCAGAGACAGTAAAATATGTGAGGCTCTTCTGTCAGCCAGAGAGAGAGCAAAGAGGCTCACTGTAGGTACAGCACGTGTATCATGGGGCAGTCTTTGGGAGGGAATGAGATCTGAGTCTTAAAAGGCTGCAACAATCACAACAAAACCAAAAAACCCAACTTGGTTTCCTGCTGTGTTTTCTCCTAGTGGAGGTTTTTAAGAGGGGCTTAGATTTCCTTTATTCCTCAAGTTAAACAGAAATCTCCAAACCCCCTTGCAGCCTTTGAGGAGATGGAAGCATAAGAAATGCCGGCTGAGGGAGGACGGGCTGAGGCAGATCCTGAGCCAGGTGGGCTGGCATTAGTCTCTGTGAACTTCACCGCAAGGTCATTTTTAGCAATTCTGCTTTCCTGTTGGACCCATGCCTCCTTGGGAATTTTTTTCTCAGGGCTTGCAGGAGAGAACTTGGAGTGAGAGGTGTCTTTCCCAGCTGCTTTGCTAGCATAGAAGCCAGAGGTAGCAGCTGCAGCCAGGCGCCTGGATTTGCAAGGGCTGTGAAGTGCTGAAGAATGGCTGAGATTAATGCCTCCTTGTGAAATGTTTCATGCTTCTCACTCTGTGTTCAATAAAGTGTGAGGAAGGTTTCCTTTCTTAAGATGTTTCTGAGTAGGACATACAACTGTACAAAACTTTGTTCTCTCTCTACTTGCCAGTGAGTTTCATTTAGGTGTTTGGCACCAGGAACTAATCAAATTTGCTTAACGCAGATACAGAGTTAGGTTTTGGTTATGAGCAGTAATGTGGAAGCTGAACATCCAGTCTAATGCTGCAGCTTCCCTCTCTTCTCCATCACTTACAAAGATGCTGGGATTTTTATTCTGACCTTTTCCTCAACCTCGGTCTGACTATCCAGACACAGCAGTGCATGAATGAACACAAATGACCGTGTCATCTTGTGTCTTGGATTTTATACTACATTTATGAATCAGTTAATCTCCATAAGCAAAGACAAAAGTGTGCCCCTTTCTATGCTTGTGTCAAGAATGGTGGACCCATTCTTTTGGTTTTAAATTTGCTTTTAATTTAGTGGCAGGTCCTGGGCATCTAAGCTGAACTGTCTGAGCTCCAGACAAAAAAAAAAAAGTCATGATTTTCTTTCTATTACTCAGGGGGGAACAGCAGCTGAACAGTAGAGTCTGATGATTCTTATTTAGTTTTGGTTTCTTTTAATTATTTTTTTATTTTCAGATGGTGGCATCATCTTGGTGGAAAGAAGTTAACAATGTTATTTCTCTGCTTAGGTTTTTCAAAAGTTATTTACTAAATTGGTCATTTCTATAATTCCTTCAAAGGCTGTTTTCTTCTGATACAAAACAGACATCAATCAGCCTAAAAGGATAACCAGTTAAAAAAGAGAAGAGTGTGCCCATGTTAATGAAACACTACAACCCGGAGTTTTTCAGAAGCAGCTCTTGTGGGTCAAGCACCATCCCTAGAGGACTGAGTTAATGTAAAAAACATCATCCTCTTATAGACCACACAAGTTCCAGTTAGTGTCAGAGGCAACTCATTGAGCCTGATGCATAGTCCTTCAGAAATGGAATAGATCTTTCCTTGTTCAGGTTATTTTCTTAGTTTTGGCTTGCTTAGTCCTGC